AAATAATGGATTTTTTAAAACTATTAACTGCTCTGCCTATTTATATCCAAAAACGTAACAAAACCAAAACGTGCACCATCCGAATAACCAAATTCGTCTCAGGAGATTTGGAGTCGATCTGGCGATGTCCGTCCGTTGATCTGTCTGTGTGGCTGGCTAGTGCATCGTAATATTATTATTAAACTTAGATCGAGTTCCGGTATCGGTCCAATCCTTCTTGTTCCTTCCCCACAAAAGATCGACATTTTCAAAAAAAAAAATATTCTAGTGTTCAGAAAGAGAAAGGATAATTCGATTTTGCTCCATTGAACATGGGCTAAGGCTATACATCTGTCGGCAAAACCAACTTATACTTTTGAACTCGTTTTGTTTTATTTATATCCTCTACATTATCCCATTTGCGTCCTGGCCACAGCCTCGCATTTCCAGTGACACACGTGTTTACAGACAGTAATGCCACTCACAGTTGCCTTCGGATACCAAAAACAGAAAAAAAGTTTTGAAACAAAACGTGATAGTAAAAACTATTAAACAGTTTGAACAGGCTGCAGATTGGAAGTTTTGTGAATTGCAATCACGTTTTAGGCGCAGTTATCTGTTGGTGTTTTATTTTCGACATTGCCTTCGTGCCACGTCTCTCAACTCCCTACTATCCCCCTACCATCTGCGATGTTATTTTGAATATTCAATCAAAATTTTTGCAAAATTCAAATATTTAAATGAAAGTTCAAAGTTCGTTAAAATAATTTCTTTTCGCAATTTAATGGGAGGGTTGGTGGTGAGTGTGAGTATGCTGTGAATAAAAGAAGATAAATTGATGGGAAATAATTTCGCTTTTTCAAGTTTTGTTAGCTGTTGATTTAAAAAATAAAATACAGTAAATTAGGAATCGAACTGTTGATGGCGAAAACGAGTTAGTTTTAAATAACAAACAATGAGAGATACTGAAAGTGGTTACTTCAGAAAGACTTTAATATTCTGACGAAATTTTGGGGAGCAGCTCCGCTCTATCCCAATCCCCTAAAGAGCTGATGAATAACCTAACTCTTACTGGACAACAATATCTATTAAAGCTATTGCACAAATTGGAAATTGTGAAAGTGAATTAGGACGAATATTTCGAATATAAAACCCCCAGTCAAGAAGACCGGCACTGGCTAATAAAACGCCACCAGAATGATACTAAAATAGACTATGGACTGTCGAAAGATGCAACGTTCTATAATACAAGTAATGTAATTTTGTATATCCTTAAATTAAAACCACGCCTAATGGTTCTTCATAGATAGAGGGACTCAACATTGAAGCCACCAAATTGAATTTTTTTCGATAATTGCAAGAAAAAATCAGTAGATTTTGAAAGAAGAGTTAAAATAGAAGACACGTATATCGACGTTTTTAAATTTTGCATTGCAAAGTTGAAGGAGTAAATTCCGCTCTCTTCCGCATTCTTCTTTTTATACCCTCCACCATACACATTAAGTACGTCATTCCGTTTATAACTCATCGAAATAATAATTTAAGACCTATATAGTATATATATATATTCTTGATCAGCGTAAAATTTTAAGACGGTTAAGCATAGATATAGGTTTATAGTGAAATTTGTGTACGATATTTCTTTATCTGACTAAAACCAAATTTTATGTTACTTTGATGAATCAAAAAAAATATTTTCAATTTTTTTATGACTGAGGTATATGGCTGCAGAGGGTATATATAATTTGATACGGCCAAAACGTGCCACATGGAAATAACGGTTCTAGACCCCAAGCCTCTTTGGGCCACATCTATTTTGGGACATTCGGAGTCGATCTGAGGATGCCCGCCCATCTGTCTATCTGATTTGATCCAAACTTGGTACATCGTAATTGTCAAACTTAATTCGGTGATGGGCAATATCGGTCTACTCCTTATGGTAACTCCCCCCAAGATCATAAAATCCATAGAATATAATTTTTCTCATTGAACAAAAAAGGGTCATTAAATTTAGTTAAACTTTTGCAAATTCCAATATTTTGTCAGTGCTTTGTCAGTTCCAATATTTTGTGTCAGTCAAGTGCGAAAATCGACAATCAAGTACCTCCCGCACATTTTTTTACTATTAGAAGAAGTGGAGTATATCGGTCCCCTATATCAAAAAGTAATCACATATCTCATATAGCGCGAAGGATGTAGTCGATATATGGCACGTTGCAATATTTATAGCTGACTCAGGTCAGATAGGAAATAGAAAACATTGGCCCACTCCTTCGTTACCAACCCAGTAAAGGGTCATCATTTGAATAATAATGCGAGTCAAAATATATTGTAATAAACTGATATTGGCGGATAGTCGGCAAAACCGAATGATATCTTATAACTTGTTTTTTATACCCTCCACAAACTTAATATACCCTCCATATTAAGTTTGTCATTCCGTTTGTAACACCTCGAAATATACGCTTTAGACCCCACAAGCATAAAATTTTATGTCGATTTAACAGTGTCCGTTCGTCTATCCGTCTGTGGAAATCACTCTAGCTTCCGAACGAAATGAAGTAAGTTGATAAAAATTTACTCAAATGTGTATTATGTCTGCAGGACTTTTGGTATTGAAAATGGGCTATGTAGGTCCACGTCTTCGTATAGCCCCCATATAACGGTGCCGTTAGAGCACTCCAGCATTTGAAAAATACCGACATAATGTTGTGGAATAATTTGACTTGCTACGATCCCCTTTAAGATGAAGCTTTTAACCATATTTAAAAATAAAATACAAAAAAGGCCCCTTTTTCATCTCATCTGGGGGTTAACATTTACGATAAAAATAATCCATGTGTTTTTTGCACACTATGTAATTAATATCGTATGGACGGATTCAAAGGAATCTTAATCCGACAATTTCATAAAATGTGTAAATTTTCAAAATGCCCGTACACGTGTACCCTGCTCTACTTTCACAATATTTTCCATGCAATTATGTTTTGTGTTACACAGTGTAATTGAATTATTAATCAAAAAATTAACTCATATTTAAGTATCCGCTACTCTTGATGTCGTCTTCGCAATGAATTGACAGATGACAACATTATATTTGGTCTACCAACCTCTTTACCTGCCAAATTGATGCCAGCATTTTAACGCCAGGGCTTGATTACTTGAGGACTAAGTAAATCAAGAACAAAAAGCTTGTACTCATAAAATAATATACAGCAAACTCCACATTGCTACAAAAATGAAATGCAACGATGTTATTTTAATTGTCTAAAAACTAAATTTGCAAAACTAATAGTTATAGTTTATATTTTGGCGATAAAAAGGCAACAAGTTTTAAAGTTTCACAACTACTAATATTTTACAGGAAATTTTTATATAGAAGGCACTCCATCTACATACATCGCCCTAAACTTCAAAATAAAAGTTGAAGAAATATATATTCCTTTCTTATATTCACATAAAAGAAAACACAAAAAGCATGAACCATTTCACCTCCAAGTTCAAATATTTAAAATATCTTGTACCGCCATCTATATATGAAATAATGATCCAATTTCAATTGTTCTATTACAAAAGTAAAGCCACCAACCCAATACAACAACCATCTTAATGTAAAATTCTTTTACAACACCAAATGACTAAGGTGACGTTTTCCAACACAGAAAAACTACATGAAATCACAGTCTTCTTTCACGAAGAAGCCAGCCAATTACTTTAGCCAGTAAAAATAGTCCTTTGTATACTTTACCTTAAAATTATTAGAAAAATACAGCCCCTGATCAAATTGTTTAGTGTATTTATGTCAATAGAAATAACAATGATAATTGTCCCACTCAATTTACGCAAAAACGTTAGACGACCTCACTATTTGATTTTACAAACAAATATATCGCACGTCTTATACATGGCCTATATAGTAATCCCATCTAGGTTAGATTTTTATGTTTTCTTATACGACGTCATTATTATAATAAGCGTTTAGTTTTTCATTCAACATAGTTTTTCATTCAACATTTTCATTTCCAAAATTGGTTTGACAGTTCATTGTCCCAGCAGCTGTATCAATGCGTCTAACTATATTCTTCTACCATGGAAGTTACCATGGCAGAAAAATACAGGTAGATGCATCAACGCTTGGGAACATTGATATGTCAAAAATGTTAAAATGTTTTGACAAAAATAAGAAGATTTTTATAAGTTTTCTTACACGACACAAATCGGTGTCTTTGTTACAATATGCATTTTTCCAAATTGGTTTGACAGTTCACTGTCTCAGCAGCTATGTCGATACGACTACGTCTATTCTTCTACCATGGTAGTTACCTCAGAGGGAATTTCGAATATATTTATATAACTAGTTAACCATTAAAAAGTATGGAAACGCAGAAATAATCTTTAAAAAAGATTTTACTTCGTTTTAAATGAAACGGGAATTTTTCACCATTGGAATTTAACTTGTATCATAACAACATGGTTAGTGATTTTAACCGTCAAAAGTCAATACGCAATTAATTGTGAAGGCCTATGGATTACAATATTGAAAACAGATAATTGTTATAATTGTATTTTCACTATTAACATGTCTCTGTCATTAACTGTTACATAGTATAGCCACAAACCTTTTTTTAAGAATGCAGTTTGTCAAGTCTTTACCATTTTATGACTTTGACAGCTGTTTGCCCATTATGGGATATCAATTCCCTTTACATGTGAGTAAAGTCAAACCAGTAAAAAGAAGCTAGTATTAATTTTATTTATTTGTTTATGAATTAACAAACAACCTGTTTCTTACAAATTCCTGCGTTTTAGATGGTGTCTACTCTGTGAATTACCTAATTGCCACACGTCTTTTTTAAAGAACCCCAACAGACGCTAGCCTAATGTCAGCTGGTTCCACATCTCTTTTAATGAATGTTTCCAGCTGAAAACGTATTGCTTATGTCTCATTTGTAAACAACAGAAGATTTTGCTTTCTGTTTATTTTCTATCGGCCATTTCTTTTTGCCTCCTTATTTGTTTCGTTGGGGACGTCATTCATTTTGGTTTCTTCCAGTAAGAAGAAGCTTGTATCAATTCAGTTGTTGATGAATCAACATAACTGACCGGTTTCGCTTAAATAATTAAAGTTTGCACGAACTACAACAAGATTGTGATAAAAATACAATAACATATACTATATACATAAGTTAATAACCCTTCACTTTTGTAAATAAGTGGAAAATTCTAAGTGCTTCCAGTTGTGAAATAAGAGAATATTGAACTCATATCAAGGAGATGTCTCTAATCACGGGAAGAGCTTTGCATTATGTCTTCAAAATTGGCAATCGTGCCAAGAATTCCTTCTTCTTCCGGAATATATTGGGCATGAAGGTAAGTCTGAAAGTTTTTCGTACATCGTAAACTTGGAAAGTGGAATTTTTTTCTAAATCACACATTCCGATAACAACTTAAGATGCTAATTGTCAACTAACAACAACAAGCGGGGTAATTTGGTTCTGCTTCAACAGGTGTATTATGTGGTATGTAGTTGATTGTGTTCGAGATAAATGGGTATGAGATTTTGATAGACAAGCTATCTATGAATGTAATTATCTGTCTAACTTTTACCTTGCATGGTTGAAATATTGGTAAACTAATTGCTACACGTTTTCTATCTATTTAACAGGTGCTGAGACACGAAGAATTCAAGGAGGGCTGTGAAGCTCAATGCAACGGGTGAGTAATATTGAAATAAAAATACGTACATATTATAGGAATGCTAAATAATTTTATATTTTCAGGCCTTATGATAACCGCTGGAGCAAAACTATGATTGGTTATGGTCCAGAATCTACACATTTTGTTTTTGAATTAACATATAATTATGGTGTGACCAGTTATGAAATGGGTGAGCATTTTATTTGAAAAACTAATATTAATTTTGGTTATTTTTAATATGTATTAGTTTTTCGTAGGTTTAGAACTGGCTCTTTCCTTTCACATTAATTTCCTCTGTATAGATATATTTTTATTTTCACAATCGTTAATATTTAATTTGGCACTTGCAGAGTACCGATGAATTTATAGTACATTCATGATCAGCATAATAATCGGTCGATTAGCCATTTCCGTCTGCCTGTTTAAATCACGATAGAGCACTATTAAATATTGATGTTTGACACATACAACGTTTAGTACACATATGGAGGTACCTCCATTTTTTAAATAAAATTGGGGTTTTCCGTCCCAATTTTCAAACAAAGCATCCCATAATATATATATTTATGACCAGGGTATTATTCAGTCGATTAGCCATACCCGTCCGTCTGTTTAAATCACGATAGAGCACTATTAAATATAGATCTTGAAATATCGCATAGACATTGATATTCTTTCTAGGATGCTTCGGACTGAAAAGCAATATATCGGTCCACAGTTAGGTGTTATCCTTATATAAATGCACCTCCTATTTAAGAATTTGAATTTATGGGTTCTCTTTCGACAGATATACTCCTCTCAAACCTCATATGTCTCTATTTTTAAACCGATGTTGGTATTTTGAAGGTTTAGGCTGAATTTCCGGCCAAACCAGATGTAACTTATTAATTCGGTTTATTTGTCGATTGTTTAACTCAACACAAAAATTTTCATTGCGGGCCCTCTTTTTGGTGTAGCGCCCAAAAAAAGTTTCTCCCAAGTTTCTGTGTTTTCAAGGTGTTCGCCTTAATTCTCAATTATGTTTTTAAAAATCTAGTTTTCCATTAAGCTACTTACCTCCTTTTCCTGTAAGAACATTTCTTCTTTTCAAGAATCCACAACACAGCCTGTAAACGGAGACGATTTTTTTCTAGATACCCCAATATGTTTCAGCTATGTGAAAATTAAACTAAAAAATATGACATTCATAAAAAAAATATTTTTATATTTTTTATAAAACAGGTGCTGAGTCCACACAGAAGTATTTGCATACCATTTTCTGCTTATTTGAAAAGATGCGAAAGTTTTTCTTAATTTATTATTTTTTTAAATATGTTTTTATCATTTTAGGCAATGATTTCGCCGGTGTCGTTTTGAAATCCCAGGAATCCATCGATCGAGCCTTGGCTAACAATTATCCAATGACCGATGTTGATGGCAAAAAATTACTCTTATCTCCAGATGGTTATAAATTCTACATTATACCAGAACCTCAACCAACGGTTGAAGATCCTGTTGTTAATGTTGGTTTACATGTTACCAATTTGGCCGAGTCGAAAAAATACTGGCATGAAATTTTGCTCATGAACATTGTGTCAGAAGATGAGACCTCGTTGCTGTTGAACTATAGCAATATGCAGGCAGCATTGAATCTTAAACAAATCTCTGAACCATTGGATAGAGCCAAGGCTTATGGACGCATCGCTTTTTCGGTACCCAAAGCCCAACAGCCTTACATCAACGATGTCATTACCCAAAATAATGGCAAAATTTTAACTCCACTCATTGAATTGGATACACCTGGCAAGGAAACGGTGCGCGTTATTATCTTAGCCGATCCTGATGGTCATGAAATATGTTTTGTCGATGATGAAGGTTTCACCAAGTTGTCGGCTGTGGAAGATGATGCCGATAAGAATTTGGATAAATACATTAGCAAGGATCCATTCCAGAGGGAGTTGGATGCAGCTGAGGAATAAGTGCTAAATGTTTGATTATGAATCTGTTGAATATGAATTATTAAGTCATTTAATAAAGCTCTTTAAAAGACGTAGGAATCAATAAAATTGATTCATGGATCTATTTTGCATACAATTGTTTATAAAATTAAAAAAAAACCTTTTGTTATGATTTGTATGAGCTGCACTGTTTGTTATGTATGTATGCTATTTGTTATGTATTCCAGAACCTACAAGAATCTATTAGTTTTGCTATTTTTTCAGTATCATAAAGGAAAAATCAATTATCATAGTATATGGTTTTACATCTTGCGGTTCAAGAATGGACCAATAATAATGAGCTTAATCGAAAAGAACATACATATATGATTGTCTAGAGATTGTTTTGAATAAATACGAAACTGCAACTTAATTGGGTGACAATTGGGAATCATGTTGACGAGAACATACAAGTGCTTGTATTTTGTCGATTGGTCGTAATATATTTACATATAACCAAATTGCTGGCACCTAACAAATTCTCGAAAAACATATATTCATTGCTTAAAACCTCAAAGAGAAAGTAGTTTTGAAAAAAAAATTGTTTTTTTTTTTTAAATATTTTGAAAATGGAAATGAAAATTATTAAAAATTAAAGTTAAGAGTTAATCCTTGAATAAATCCAGTTCAGCGGTCAAATGGGAGAGCTTATAATGAAGGCGGTACGGATTTTGTATAGAAGATCGGAAGAGGAATTCAAAGAAATAATATAACATTGTATTGTATTTTTATCAAAAATTAACGAATTATGTTTAACGATGTCTCATATGTCTTCAAGGAATTTAAATGTCTCAAATGCACGAAGTAAAACAAAGATCAGTTGAAAGGTATGTATCTGTTTTTAAACTTATTTTATGCAATTCCTGCGCATGAAATTTCGAGGATTGACAAATATATCTGTTACCAGAAAGAATGCGTGTCCACTCTTTCTCATTCTCTCTCATTCATATTATATCTATTTTTGATAGAAATATTAAGAAAATATTGAGGGTTATAACTATTAAAAATGTTGACCCCTTTTGGGAAGGTACGAGAAAGTGTTGGTCGATAAATTTCATACTCATGTGAGATCTGTGGTCGGTAAAATATTGTGATATACAAAGTTTAAAGAAAAACCTTGATTAGGTTCGCATGTTATGAGAGTTATAATTATGTAAAATCTTGACTCTGGAGGAGGTGGTTGAAGATGTTGACTGATATTTTCTATTTTCCTAGCACTGATACATGTACCAGTATTTGCAAATTTTGAACAAATTCGAATGATCGTTTCTTGTTCTATGAGGTATTTGGATTGTTCCATGAGGTTAACTATTTTCTAAGCGAATTTTGACCTTTTGGTGGGTGGTGCCAGAAGGTGTGGATCAATGTTGCCAATCTCTGAACTGGATCTAATTTTGACAATAATATTATGATGTATTAGATTTGGACCAAATCGGATCGACTCCAAATGTTTTAAAAGTGATTTGGTCTTAAGAGACTCAGGATAGAAACCGGTTATTTCGATTATATATACCTTCGGTAGACATAGCTGAGAGTGAAAAAAGGAATAAATCTGATGAGTTTGGCCGGTCCGACATTTAATAACCTCCAAAATATAAAAGAAACATAACATTTCAAAAAAAAAAAAAAAAATATATATATATATATATATATATATATATATATATATATATATATATATATATATTAATTTTTGTAATATTTCGATAAATATTTAAAAAAAATTCGTTGAAAAAAGTATTTAAAAAAAATTAAAAAAGTATGCATAGCCAATTATCTGCAAAAGAAGTCGGTGCCTATTGGGAACTCCAAATACTAATTTTTTTTAAATAATTCCGTCGAAAAAGAGCACGTATTTAGGGTCTATAAAAAATGTGAGCATATATAGATAATTTTCTATCAGACAAGATAATGCTTATAGTCAACATCAAATAGCAACTTTAAAATAATTCCTTTAAACGATCTCGCTAAAATTATCAAAATGCCGAATAAAGGGAAATTACCATTATATAAGAGATATACAACAATGTAGACCTGCATAGACAATTTCCTGTTATAAAAGGTAGTACCCATTACCATTTCCTAATACCAAATTTGAATCAATTCCGGTGGAGATACAGTTATAAGGGGTCTATACCGAAACTTGGATTTATATGCACAGTTCTCCACAATGATGTTCCTTACGTATCACAAACTACCAATTTACAGCAAATTCTGTGTAAAATTGTGACTAAAAAAACCTTTAAATCTGCCGGTACATGTATGTATATGGGGGCTACATCAAAACGTGAATGTTCCAAAAATTTTATGGACCTAAAATGCATTTGAGTGAAATTATATCCACCTACATCATTTCATTCGGAATATATAGTGATTTTCACAGAGGGGTATACAGACGGACGGACATGATTTTATCGACATAGAATCTTGCAGTGATCATATGTAATTAGTGGGGTCTAAAATTTTTATTTCGAGGAGTACAAACGGGCTTAATTTGCCTCAATAGTGTGGTAGGGGGTACCAAAATAGGTTTTCTAATCCATTTTTGGATGAATAATGTTACCACAATATTCTTATATACTTTGTCCACCGCAGGTGATGTTCTTGCATAGCCATGATTTTTATACCCTCCATCTTGAAAAGGAGGGTATATTAACTTTGCCATTCCGTTTGTAACATCCCTATATATTCGTCATAGACCCCATAAAGTAAATACATTCATGATCCGAATAAAATTCTAAGTCGATTTAACGATGTCCGCTTGTCTGTTGAAATCATGATACAGCCAACATTATTTGACATTATTTGCCCCGGTGTTTTAAGGATTTTTGCCACATTTTCCACGGATTTGTCTAAAAATCTAAAAATTGCTATTTGTGGGTCATAATAGGTTCTAGCTCCTGTGGCGGAACATTGTATATATATGTTCACGTTTTCGTATAGCCCCCATATAACGGTACCTACCTAGATTCCGTATTTCGATGATTTTTGACACATTTTCCACGGATTTTTCTAAAAAATGGTAATTGTGGGTCATAATTAGTTCTAGCTTCGGTGGCGGAACATTGTATTTATAGGTTCATTTATAGCCCCCCATATAACGGTACCACCCGATATTCCGCTTTTTGATGATTTTTGCCACATTTTTCTACGGATTTGACTAAAGATTTGTGTATTTGTAGGTCATAATGGGTTTTTATGAACTGCGTTAGGGTTACAAACACTATAGGCTGTTTCAAGGTGTCACACAATTTTATTAAGTTTTTCTGTTTTTTCAGACACCAATATATAAAACATTAGTCCGATGCTACCCATTGCTTGATAATGAGAAAATTAGTTTTTTGCTTTATTTTCTATTTAGTAATAACCCATTATTTTGAACCTACTGATAATCCAAAAAAAGTTTGTTTACACTAGTTTTCAATACCTTTTAATGTATTATTCTGCTCATACAGCTCCTACGTTTTTCCTGGTTATATACAAATAATTAAGTATCTATGTATGCACATAAGTACATACTTACCTACTATTTATTAAGATTTCTTATGGGTACCTACCTATTATCTTACTGTGAAACCCTATTTATTTTCTCCATCGGTAGCGCTTAGCCATGGGAAATTCTATCTGCAAGTTTGTGGTTAATCTTTACACAATACCAACATGCGGATAAAAACTCGATTACGACGAATGACGTTGTTCAGATTTGTTTCGTTTGTTTTGATCGAGTTTTTGTGGTTTGGATTCATTTTTTTCACTGTAGGTATTTTCTCTCTGCTTCTTTTTGATGCATTCAGCTTGTTAAAAAAAAAAAAACAAGAAAACTTAATAATATACATACATATGTGCATATCAATTCAAGAATTCTCATGAACGTTCTTGCAAAAACAAACCTGACACATTAAATAAAACCTTATTTCATAATAGCGAGCTATTAGGTATAAACCCCTAACGGGTTTTTCAAATTCAAGTCTATTGTTTAGCTTTGATCAATTGTTGTTTATTCATAAAATTAAATTTCATCGGCAACTTTCTCACCATATAAAGCATAACTAATTTTGCTTAAACTGAATAGACCAAACACAATGTCTCCTCTTTCTCCCCACCACTTGAAGTTTCAATGCAACAGAAAGATAAACAGAAAACAAAAGCCTATATGGCGCTAATTGCATGTTTACAGGTACACAACAACGACAACAAATACAATCTATCTGAGAGATGTTTATGTGTAGCGCTCAGTTGTTTTAAATTGCTCTCAACTTAATAATGATCAGTGATACACACAACGCGTTTTAGTTGTAAATCGTTTAATTGAATAACAAAATAAAATGAACGATTAAATAAGGAATATTTATACAATTTTTATCTACAACAAGAAAATAGGCTTGAACAAAACTTCAACAATCATGTGCAAAGGATCTGGTGAAATTGTCTTTATTCAGACAGTCTGGAAAAAACGGTGTTATATTCCCAACTGAGGTGTTCATTACGAACTCAAAATATTTAAATGGAACAGTGTTGGCATGTTTGTTCTGGATATCGTAGTATTTTGTTGTTGCAAAATTGTCAGGCTTAAATCCATTATTGTTGTTTTTATAAAAACAACGTTTGTTTATTAGAGGAGGAAGCTGGTAATGTTCACAAAGGGGTAAGGCAGGGAATACCTAGGTTTCGGAAAGAGCCATGAATCCTTATCAGTTTTTTTTGTCTGGTGTATTCTCCCCACCATTCTCCACTAATAAACAAGCATGGTTTTTATAAAAATGACAATAATGGGATTAATCCTGACAATTTTGGAACAGCAATCTATAAATACCTTAAAATTGCAGACGATTCCGTTTAAAATGCGTTAAAAATCTTTATATACTTTAAATCGATGAATGCTGTTTTGACGTATACTAACCATCAATTACACGGTTCCGTTCAAAACATTTCCTTCCTATTAAACTCTCAGCCATATGGCTACAGAGGGTATATATCAGTTGGTACAACCTAAACGTGCCTCATCGAAATAACGATCCTATGTCTCTTTGGACCAAATCCGTTTCAGGACATTTGGAGTCGATCTAGCGATGTCAGTCCGTTCATCTGTCGGAATTGAGTTTCCGATTTGATCCAAATCGGAGATGGGCAATATCCGTTCACTCCTTCTGTTACCTCCCCACAAAATGTCAAAATTATATACTGCTCAGAAAGAGAAAGGATAATCCAATTTTGCTCCAATTTTGCAAATCCTAATATTTGCATTAGTGCTAGGACAGGTGCGAAAATGGACAATATCTCCTCCCCCACAATATCACTCCTCCCCCACAAAGGGTCGAAATTTTGAATAATTATAACTTTTATAAAATGTGATGTGAGAGTCCGATTGTCTTTAAATTACAGACATCGCAATTTTTTTATTCACCCAAGTTCTGGTGCGTAGATGGAATATATCGATTCACCTCTTCTGGTATCTTCTTCGAAAAAGGATCAACATTTTCAATATCCATGAAACTCATAAAACGCGAAATTAATATACGATTCCAGTCAGACTAGGTACGTCTCAATATTTCTATGAACGCAAGATCTGTTATAAAAAAGGTAGAAATAGCACCATTAATTCTGGTAGCTCCACCACAAACGGTCAAAATTTGGAATAATTATAACTCATATAAAAGGCGATTGCCTTCAAATTACGAACATCACAATATTTTTATTAACCCAGGTTGTGGTGTGAAAATGGGATACATTGGTTCACTCCTTCTGGTACGTCCCCCCACAAAGGGTTAAAATTTTGAATATTTATGAAGCTCATAAAACACGAAATCAACATCCGATTCCATTCAGGCACATCTCAATTTTTTCCATCAACAAAAGATCTATTATAAAGATGTTAGAGATCGAACCATTTCTTCTGGTACCTCCCCACATAGGGTTCAAGATTTTGAAAAACAAAACGCTCAAATAAAGCGAAATAAGCATCCAACTCTCTTAAAATTTCACACAACCAGAAAACTGAGATGAATATGGAGTTTATGATTTCGCATAATATTGTTATATTTACGAAATGCAAAACAATTCGGTTGAATAATGTCGCTAATATCATCAAAACATCGAAAGAAGGGAGATACCGTTATATTCGGGGTATACGAAGACGTGGACCAGCATAAACAACATTCTGTCATAGGTTTCAGTATCCATTACGAACTTTAAATACGAAATGTGCAATAATTCTGGTGAATAACACCGCTAAAATCATAAAAAATTTCGAATATTTGGAGGTATCGTGTTTTGGTGGCTATACGAATACGTGAACCTGCATACGCAAATTTTTCGTCAAAGGCGGTGGTACATATTAGGAACATTACATAAGAATTTGTAATAATTTCGGTCTATATTGTCCCTAATACCATAAAATACAGGTTATTGGGATGTACCATTACAAAGGCACTATACGACAATGTGGACCTGTGTAAGTAGTTTTTTCACCTTTTTTCACGAAAAAGTGGAGCGATTTGACCCATTTACAAACTTAACCAGCGTAGTGGCGAAATACACATGTGTGCAAAATTCTAGCATTCTACCTCAAATCGTTCTAAAGATAGCGTGATTATAGACAGACAGGCGGACAACTCCAAATCGATTATTCTTTATACTTCGTTGGATCTAACAAGAGTATTTCGAGAAGTTACAAACGGAATGACAAAGTTAATGTATCCTACACAATATGGTGGTACAAAATGAAGTGTTGTGGCTGAAAAAATAATTACTTTAAAAGTCGTTAAATACACTGAATACTGCTTATTAGAATTCTATTAATATGTTATAAATATTCCTATAATTTATTTTTAATTTTTTTTCACTCTAGATCGTAGATTTCCCACTGTGGAATATTGCCACATTATATTCTAATTTAATACGAAGCAAGAATATAGCATATACACTTTATGGAATGCCCAACGAATACATCAAACCATTATAAGTGGAAAGAAAAATTCTTGTCAAAAACGCTGAAACAGCAACACTGTTTACACTCACTCAATGATCATTAACTCTCTGTGAGAGTTCAACATCAACAGGTAAGCAAAGAGCGTATGCGAGAGTTTTGTTGTACGAAACAATATCACTTGCTCTCCCCATGTTTTGTTTTGGCGTGTGTGTGCATGTGTTCGGTAGACACGTTTGAGACGATGGAATGGAGTGCTGCTGCATGGGTATTTCTTGTTTTAGTTTGGGGTCTTTAATTTAGTTTGAGTTTTGCTTGCGTTTAACGATGAGATAGATATGTGAGCGGGTAATGTGATTGTGTACATTTTAATGTTTTGAGTCTTCACTTTGTTGAGATGTGTTTATTAATGCAAACTACTTTAAATTGTGTGAAATCAATGTTATTTTGTTAAGAAAATAATATTTTATTGATATTGAAAGAAAGAAATAAATAACAACAGGTGTATTGAGTGAAAGAAAGCAAGAATTGATTTGAATAAAGAGGGAAATAGCTGCGTTACGTTTGCGTTTAGTGGATTACGCGTTTTCTTGGTTTTGTGTTGTGTTTTGTTATTCAAATTGGCGGAGCTTCTGTGAGTTTTTGTAAGCCTGCCCTCCGTATGCCCGTTTAAGAAGAATGTCTAATAATAGCTGGAGAGTGTTGTGTGGCCAAATTTAACATTAATAGTGTTTTGAAGCTAATGAAAACCAATTTGGAAATTACAACCAAAAATAAATATCTACAACATTTAATTACTTTTAAAGTATATTTATGACAAATGAAAGTGAATTTGAGGAAATAACAAAAAAAGTAGAAATCTTTTGATCAAAAAGCAATAATAGAGAGAGAGAGAGAGAGTGAGAAAGAAAGAAAGAGTGCAATTTTGAAAACCTTACTCAAATGTGAAGAAAGCAAAGTGAATATCAAATAATCGATTACCTCGCGGAGTGCGTCTTCAAAGAAAACAAAGAACCAAACAGATATCCGTCCGACCTGCCAGCCATCGATCAATTCAATCAATCTGCTTCACGACACAACCTAGCCAGTCGGCCACTTGTTATCATATTTGGTGCGTGTGGTGTGTCACTGCTTTCGTATTTATAAATGTAAACAAAACGAAACAAGAAAAATCAATATCAAGCATTACTCGATTGGGTAGCCCCCAAATCTCCCCCATCTCCCCTTCTACATTGGATTGGTGTATGGGTATCATTTATTTAGTAGAGTTGAATTTTATTGTGTTGCATGGTGTGTGGACTCCTCTTGTTCTTTATCTTCGACTGATAATCTCATCCCGTTTTGTTTTGTGATAATGAAACAGTAATAATAGCAGGAAAAAAAAGAAAAGAAAACGAAAGAAAGAAACCCAAAAAACAAGTTCTGGTGTTATTTGTTTTAAATGCATAGAGTGGATGTGCCTTAAATTTGCCATAATTTTTTTAATGTCGAAAAATAAATGAAAAAAAACGTAATCGATTAGAACAAAAACAAACACAACAAATCGCAGCATAACAAAATCAACCTTGGTTTCGAAGAACAAGCATTTTTGTGACAACTTAATACCGGGCAAATACCTCTCACCCCAGCCATCGATCTTTGGACATATCAACAGTGTTGCAGGCTTAAAGGATTAATTTTTCAAAATAAAGCATTGAAACAGCCAGCCATTCTGGCGACCGCCAACTCTGCCCAATCTATATACAAAATAATAGGTGAGTACTTTTTTTCCAATTTCGTATTTAATAAAATTTAAACCCTCAACCAGCTGTTGTTTTATTTCCACAAAAACGCACGCACACACATACTAACTTCCCCTATCTCTATTTTTTTTTCTTTCTCCCAACTGGCATTGATTTACAAGTGTGCGTGTATGTGTGTGCATGCTTGTTTTGTTGTATCGCGTCAGTTTGTTTATACAGGTACTATATATTTCACTTGTAGGTCACCTCCCATCGTTAAATCCACAACCATGGGAATTTGTTGCGGTAATCCTCCGGTATTAGTAAAACACGGCCAGCAAAGATAGACAAGTTCATATTTCAAACAGAAATTCATAGAATAAATGTGGTTGCTCGAAAAAAAAAACAACAAAATAAATAAAACAAAATCTCACGGTTTTATTGTTATTAGGAGCTGCGGGTTTTAGTTAAGTTGTAGCAAATAGGTTTCATGACAGTTATTGAGAAGGGCATTTGTAATTCAATGAATTGTTGTTGAAATCAATGTTAATGAAGGTATTATATAAAATCGGAAAGAAAGTTTTCTCGTAACATTATGGGAAAAAATCCAAATGCATTGTTAGAATAATTCAAATGAGTCTTCAGGAATCATGGACTAATACGTTGGCCATTTGAAAAGTTAATTTTTGGGAAATTTAGTTCGCATATCAAAAACAATCTACATCTTCCCATTCTAGACGCCAACAGTAATCCAAAATGAGTACTATTTAGTAATTTTCGAATAATTATGGTTCACCACCACCACCACCAGATACCAACCAATAAACAATTTAGTGCCATTAATACTTTAATAAGAAATTTTTAACTCGATCTAAGAGCTTGCCCTAAAACCTACTGAAAGCTTGATGGGTACGGCTTTCAAAATATTTAATTTGACTCCGAAGTAAGTTTACAGGAGTCTATAAGGACTCCTTTACAGGAGTCCATCAAGACTCCTTTACAGGAGTCTATAAGGACTGCTTTACAGAAGTCTATCTAGACTCTTTTACAGGAGTCTATAAAGACTCCTTTATAGCAGTCTATAAAGACTCCTTTACAGGAGTTAGTGGGTTTTTCCGACAGATATATACCCCCAGCCTTAAGTTCAAACTGTTAACCCTTTACGGGAAGGTTCTGAAGCAGTTGGCCAATATCGACCAATTCGTATGTAACCTAAGACTAATATAACTAATATAACATGTCCATGACTATATCGACTACTTCCTATACTTTATATGAGATATGTCAAATTTTTGGAAAATGAGGATTTATGCGTGAGGTTCCAGATATGGTGGATCGAAGTATTCCATTTTCATACCTCATCTAATACCGATAAAAATATTAATGTGTGCAAAATTTGAAGGAAATCAAATATTTATATCTACTTCTATGCGAAATCATAAATTCCGATATTCATATACATTATATATTCATATCAGATTTCTGGTTAAGAGAAATATTTAGACATAGAAAGTTGTAAATAATCACCGACTTCTTTTGCAAGTTATGACAGATATAAGCATTGGAAATTGTGACCTTTTGTGGGTGAGGTACCAAAAGGAATAGTCCGATCTCTACCTATAACTGATCTCTATCTTTACAACAGATCAACTTTTTTTTATCAACTTTTGTTGATAAAAAAATATTAGGACGTGCCAACTCTGAGTTGAATTGGATTTTAAGTTCGTGTTTTATGAGCTTCATGTGTGTGTGTGAAATTTCAAGAGGGTGGTTATTTAAAACTTTGACCCTTTGTGGGGGAGGTACCAGAAGGAATGATTCGATCTCTACCTATAACTGATCTCTATATTTATAACAGATCTTTTGTTGATGAAAATATTAAGATGTGTCAACTCTGAATGGAATCGGATTTTAATTTCACGTTTTATGAGCTTCATGGATATTCAAAATTTTGACCCTTTGTGGGGAAGGTGTAAGAGAAAGTGGACCGATATATTCCATTTTCACACCAGATCTTTGGATAATAAAGATATTGTGATGTGTGTAGTTTGGAGACAATCAGATTCTTACATCACATTTTATAAGATTTATAATTGTTCAACATTTTAACCCTTTGTGGGGGAGGTACTTGATGGAGTTGACCGGGATTATCCATTTTCGCACATGAACTAGAACTGACGTAAATATTAGGATTTGCAAAGTTGGAGCAAAATCGGATTATATCTCTATATTTACAGTAAATTATTTTCTTTGAAAATGTTTACATTTGTCTAAGTTTGATAATAATATTACGATGTACCAAGTTTAGATCAAATTGGATACTCCCTTCGAGAGTCATCGTGCGCACCAGCCAGACATTGATGGACGGAAATCGCTAGGTCGAATGCAAATGTCCTGAAATGGATTTGGTCCAAAGAGACCTAGTGTCTACAACCATTATTTCGATGAGGCACGTTTTGGCCGTATCAAATGATATAAACCGTCTTTAGCGATATGACTGAGGGTATAAAAATACAAATGCCTCATTGTTTCAGTAAGTATTGGACTTCTGTTTGTCCGGAACCCTATGCAAATTCTTTTTGAGAGACAACATCAACATAATTTATATCGTAGAAATGATCATTAAAGAACCAATGAAGTACGAGGTGGCGGAAAATTCAATAAATTTTACGATTGGCCTCTAATGTCTTATTTACCATTGCGCCACCTTGTACATGCATATATCCTTGACAGACATTCCGATGTAAGTAAAAAGTTATTCTGTTAGAAGGATCACTTTTGCGCCATTTTGTATATATATTCTTGAACAGCGCAAAATTCTATTTTCATTTAGGCATGTCCGACCGTCAGTGTATTGTAATTACGAAGATGGGTTATATGGGTCCACGTTTTCGTATAGCCCCCATATTATTGGAAACCAATCCCTTTCACAGACAGACTTCTGTATAGGTTTCCCTTTTTATACCCTCCGCCATTCTATGGAGGGAATATTAGCTTTGTCATCCCGTTTGTAACTCATCGAAATAATCATTTTAGACCCAACAAAGTACATAAAATTCTAAGACGATCTAGCGAGGTCCGTCTGTCTGTGCGTTTTTTTTTTGTTGTAATCATGCTACCTTTCGAACGAATTGAGATAGAAGATTAACATTTTGCAAACATGTATAGTTCTTAATGTTCTTAAATGGTCCATGTTTTCGTATAGGTCCCATATAACGGTACCTCCCGATAACTGGAATTATTTCAAATTTCGTATTTGAAGTTCGCAAGAGGTGCTACAGCCTATGACAAAAAATATCGATGTTCGATATTTCAATGATTTAGAACTGTTTCAAATTTGGCATTTGAAGTTTGCAATGGGTACTATAGCATATGACAAAAAAAGTCGTAAGCAGGTCCACGTCTTCGTATATTCCCCGTATAACGGTTTTCAACTAAGTGGTAGTTTTCCGAATTTTTTTTTGAAAATTTTCAAGTTCCTTCCAAATGCTTGCTGTAATATAATGTAATTGTCTGGAATTTGAAATGGAACAAAAAATAAATAACTACTTAAATCCACATTTACGTAATGGCTTCATATTTGGTATTTTGATTATTTTGTGTCTCTTTTAATTGAAATTTCTAAAAGTTAGTGTTTGAAGTTCTTAATAGTTTTAATTGGTTTCAAAAATACCATACATTTACTATATACAAAAGCTTTTTCAAACAAGAATCATTTTGCAATTATAGATCTGTGGGGATATATTTTCTAGATTTGTGACACTTACAGCATTACGTTGAAATACCTAGATTGGAAAAATTGATTTTCCTCAGCCTCGCCGAAATTAACTGCTCTTTCACTTGTTTTTTTTTTGTAATAGTCAGACTTAAAGGTTGGGCCAGGATAAAGAACTCTAAAAATGACACAATTCCATTTTAACATATTTTTTATAGACAATAAGTTTAAACGAAATGTCAATCCATCCAATTAAAAAAGCCACAACAATTTACCCATGTATAGGTACTAGAAATACTAGGAAAACCACCTGTCAGCCGAGCTATGTACCTGCCTATTTAAAAGCCATTGATTGATTCAATATCATCATACATTACCGAGAAAAAGCATTTTATTTAACTTTTGATACCCTCTGCCTTTTTATTTCATGGAAGAACATCAGTATCGTTGGGTGTTTTCCTCCGATTTACAACAAACCGTCAGACAGGCAGTCAAACAGCTAACGGCTTACACCAAAACCTATAAAAAATAATAAACAGAATTCAAAGTGGTAAAGTGGCAGGCACTTGTCGCTTGTCGGTAGTTATGATTGTGTGGAGTTGAGTTGATTTTCAAGAAGAATCTGGCTCGTAAAGAGCTTGGAAAAGCGAACATAAAACCAACAATGAATATAGCACGGCATTTTGTTGTTGTTTTCTTTTTATTGCGTCAAGCATGAGTTGTGCATAATAAATGACTACAATGAAAAATCCTTTTGCAAAGTTGATTCAAAGAAATTGAAAGAAAGAGAGAGCGACAGAATCAACGACGTCCACGAAGACGTTGAAGAAGAAGAAGAACTTTCAACTGCATTTTAATCCATGTTTGAAATTTTATAGATAGATTTTTCGTTGTATTTCTTATTTTATGATTATGGCCTAAGAAGACAAGGGGCACAGACAATGTTCAACCACATGCATGTACTGAAATGGCCAGAGAGACGGACGGACGGACAGACGTACTCATGGACAATGACAGAGTCGAGAGACAACAGTTGTGTGTTTACCCACAGGTATTAGACATAAAACAACTGTAAGAACAATAATTTCCATTGGCCTCTTAAATTTGATGAGTACCGACTGGATTTAGATGTTTGTGTGACTGCCAGTGTGTCTGTTGGCCCGTCTACAATTTCATATTTTCATTCAATACCGAATCCCATTCTCCGTTTGTTGTTTGTCGGTAGGCAATATTAAGATTGCGATTTTTAAGATGCGATTACAAAATTTTATCGTTAACGAGAAGAGGATTCTTTAACCAGACTTGTTGTGTCTTGTGT